ACACCAAGTTTTGTGCCGCACGAATACAAAGATTACATTCCTCGCGCCAGCGGCGCAGGAGTCGCGTAAAGGTCAAGCAACGTATTTACACTGGCTTCCGACGAGTCTCCCTTCAGAGGAGTCGGCTTGTCGACCTATTGTCGGACCGCTCGGCCCCGACGTTCCTCTCCAACCGTGAGCGGTGTCGCGCGTGATCGTGGGACGGAAGTCGATAAGAAGCTTGAAGTGCCCAAGAGGTCCATTGAGTTTATCACTTCCCTCTTTCACCGGAATCGTCTCTCAAGTTCTCATTCCTTTCTCTTCACTCGGTGGCGGATAAAAAGGGGAGGGGGGAAGGAACTACAGAAACGCTTTCTCCAATTAATTCAGTATTTGCCACTGTTCCGGAAGATGTCCTGTCCCTCATGCAAATGAAGTCATCGGTGAAAAATTGAAGCATCTCAGATGGATCATGGAGTAGGAATCAGTTTCCTCTCGCGCAGCTTCCATCAGGAATCGGAAATCTTCTTTGACATTTCCATTCCAGTCCCCTGCAGGAATAATTCTTCACATCGCATGCCGAGTAATGCGCACATTCTTCCGATAATATCAATAACGGCTAAGTGCATCCGTTTTTCCTTTTTCGATCCTGCAAAAATCGGGAAACTGCAGAGAGCTGATGTAGGATCAAAAAGTTATACGGAGAGAATATAACTCAAGGAAAAAGCCTGATTTAGATATATATATATATATATCCCAAGCCAAATCTTTTGGTGGTGCAAAAATCTCTCGGCATTATTTTTTTTTTACCCGACGTAACAAGCAAATAGAAAAATGTAAAATTTATAACTGGAATAGTTCTCTCTACATTTTGATTTCTGGATATTTCTACTTCCTGATTCATCCCATCAGGACACATTTTTCAAGAGATTTTTGAAATAATTTTAGTTACTTCGAAGCAAGCAATATTGAAAATGGAAATTAGATGTACAAGTAGTTTTCTAGGTACTGATTTAAACTAAATTCTGCATTTTAAGTTGCATCCCCATTGACCATATTTTTTTGCAGGAAAATTATTCCTGGATTGTATCTATTTTAATAAAAATGGAGCTGACACGAGAAGCTAAATTTGGGATGATAGTACTTGAAAAAAAAAGTTTTTTTTTTGGGAGACATTTTCTATTGCACTGTTATTTCCCAGAGCAATTTGTGCTGTGCAGTTTCGTGCAATTTTTTTCTGGGCAAAGAGACAAAAAAAAAAGAAGTAACCAGTGCCACAGAGAATGAGAGTGATGGATGGTAGGATTAATTAATCTATGGGAAAAGTGAGATATGGAAAATGGTTATCTGAGATATTAGCAGAACGGTATCTGCAACACCGTGGAAAACAAAGGCAAAGTAGGAGTACAACCCCCCATGGAGTGTAAATAAATCATGGCGTTGGAAGGTTTTCAGGGGTTCAGTGAGATAAGCGAGATATGGAGGATCGAGGATATTTTCTCCCCTGGTCTCAGTTGGCTGATAACAGGAGAACATTAGAGATGGCTGAGTCTTTGTCCAGGGTCGTGGAGGAAGCGAAAAGGAAATTCTATCGGCGTCGGTTGGTGACCGCGATGATTGCGTATGCGATTGCATTCATCGACGGATCCGACGTTGCCGTCGTTCTTCCTACTGCGTGGAAATACCTTCAGAGTCTTGGCTCCAGGTCGGTGTTCTTTCTCAGATAATCGCTGGAATGTGGCTTCGTCGCGTGTTCATAGAGTATTATGCACATATGTGCAGAGATGAGACGGATTTGGGGATCCTTGTTTCGGCCTTCCACTTTGGTGCCCTCATTTCGTCCATCTTCTTCGGCTGGCTCGTGGACCGGCGGATGCACTTCTGCAAGAGGGTCATGCTCGTCGGTGCCCTGGCGCAAACCGCAGGGAGCGCCATGTACTTCCTCGGCATCCACAAGTGGTTCGTCGTAGCGGGGAGATTCGTTTGCGGACTCGGGAGCGGGACCCTCACCGTCATCCTGGCCGAGCTGGCCAGAGCGACTTCCAACGAGGAGCGGGCCAAGTTCTTCGCGTTGGGCTTCGTCGCGAGGCACCTAGGGGTCGTGCTCGGTCCAGTCTACAACTTGGCCTTGCGCGATGTCCATTCTCAGTTCGGGAACTTCCGGGTGAATGAGGAGACCCTGCCCGGATTCATTTTCGCCATTATTTGGTCCCTTGCCGTGGTCGTCATCCTTGTTGCATTCGAAAACATCGGGGAACAATACATCGCATTGCAGAAGTTGATAGCTGCTGCTAAGGATTCGGAAACCGTCCGATACGGGACATTTTTGCGCTTGCCGAATGACGACGCCAGAGACACAGCAGAGCACAGTACTCCTAATTTCACGATGAACCGGAAGAACTTGGATTCGAAGAAATTGCTCCGCTCCGTGCATTCATCGACCCTAAGTCAGAAGAAGGTTCGGAACGAGATCCCGCCTCATGATCGACCGGAAGAGACAAAGGGGACAACCTCCTCCTGGATGGACCTCCTCGTCGACACGATCGTCGTCATCCTCTTCATGCAGACGACTCTTTTCTTCTGTCAGCATCTGATGGAGACGGTCATCCCACCGACCATGCAAACTCACTATGGCCTGGGATCACGAGCCAATTCCTTCTTCTATCTGCTCATAGGCGGCGAAGCGTTCATTTCGTACACCTTCGTGATCGTGATGCGAAATCGCCTTCTCGACCGGACCGTGACCTTGCTGGGGAATTCGCTGGTCGTGCTCGCGCTCATTTCTCTCATGATCACGGCCCGATTCCAGGAATCCCGTCCGGATCGTTCATTCCCGTTTTTCGTCGCGTCCAGCGCCTTGGTCTTCCTCGGAGTCCCGATGTCCTCGACGTCCGCCTCGACCCTGGGCTCCAAGCTCGTCGGCCCCGACCGCCAAGGGAAGATGCACGCCCTTCGCCAAGCCGCCAACTCCGTCGGCATCGTTCTCGGCCCTCTCTGGGCCGGCGCCTCGGTCCGTCGCCCCTTCCTATCATACGGGGTCACTCTGGCCATTTTCCTCTTTCAGTTCTTCTTGTTCCTTCTCTCTTATTCCAGGCTGGCTCGGAAATGAATCTATTCATGCAACTGATGCCTTAAGATCTGAAAGTATATCGATGAAAAACTCTGCAATAAACAATTTCTATCAACAAAGTGTGTTCAATGTTTTGGTTTTTTTTTTTCATCTAGCCTATTGTTATACAAGGCAGTTTCAAGAACGTTTTGGCGGAAATCTCCCGCATTATTACGAAACCTTCAAGTCAATCGTGTCCTCTCGTGAGAATTTTCCGCATTGCATTCGACTCCCCATACTTTTTTTAATTCACGGAAATTTTCACGCACAGTAGAATGAATCGAGTCATCAAGAGCGGTTAGCCCTCTGAAATCGGCACAAACGCCTCTCTGGAAACCAATTGGCACGAAGGCGACGACGCTGCTCGCTGTTTCGTCGGCAGTTGGACTTGCGTCCGGCTGCGGCACGTCCCTTCCGGCAAAACACCGTTCCGATGTGGTCGCAGCGAATTCCGAGAGGGGCGACGTATTGTTTCCCGTTGAAGAATTGGCCCTAAAGAATTGGCCCTAAATTGGCCCTAAAGTTCATTAAGCCGGCAACACGAACATGTATTTGAAAAATTCTGTATATTTTAAAAAACCTGTATATCAATAATTACGGAAGCATGAGTGAAATTTCACATTTGTGCATAAGGTACGGGTTGTATAAAAAAAATTCGGTTCATCATTTGATGGTCGCGTTACTTTTTAAACGAATGATGAAAGAAAGATGAAAGGAAATCCAAAAGATTTGCTGAAACACCTCATGTTTCATGCTGCGTGGATATGAATTTCACATTTCATTGCTTCAGCGGCGCAGGAGTCGCGTAAGCGAAGACGGCTGAGAAGCGTAGTGCCTATTTATTATTATTATTATTATTATTATTATTATTATTATTATTATATTATTATATTATTATTATAATATTATTATATTATTATTATTATGATTATTATTATTTTATTTTATTTATTTATTATTATTATTATTATTATTTTTTTTTTTGGGGGGGGGGAAGCGCGTGAAGAAACGCGTTTTGTAGCTTAAGTGAAACGTCGTTTTCCCTAAAAAGTACGGGGAGGGGGTCCTCCCGTCGAGATGAAAGATTCGCGCTCGGCATCGACATTTCCTCGTTGTTTTTGTCGACGCGAATGCGCCGGACGACCAGCGAGGCCACGAGCCGCCGACGAAGATCTCGAGTCACCTAGCACAGCGGTCGAGACGTTTTTGAGGGAGAGGTCCAGGCCATTAAGTTGCTGCGACCGAAGCCGACAAAGCGAGGCGGTTCTTTTTTCCCTCCTTGCTGGGGAAGCAAACGGGTAAATCGCATTTCCGCGCCCCTCCGTCCTGGACGTTGGAGCAAGCGGCGTCTCGCGAATTTCCGCGAAAAGGGCGGAATGACCCCTCGTTAGCGCCAACCTATTCCTTGTGCAACGTCGCCGACGGAAAAGACCGGCTCGTCGAAGATGAGGGAACCGGCCTCATTAGCCCCCAGCTAATGAGTTTCACTTCGGACGACGAAATGTTCTACAATATTTTCCCCTCACTTTTTTGTCTTCTTTTTTTTTTTTCTCTTTTCTCGAAGGTCATCCAATCTGGCATTGCTAGGGCTTCCGGGATTACCGTTCCTCCCCCGGTACTCGTCAGTCCTCGTACCGTCGCGGTGCCTCGTGCTCGTGTCTCTCCCGACTCTTCGCCTTCTACTTCGCCTTCGTCACGAGATTTTGACGTCGATGGCCGCCTTCCTCGCGTAGCGGCTCGACGCGGCTCGACGCGGCGTCTCGCGCGAGCCATCGCCTGGTCCGCAAATGACTCCGTGTGAGCCTCGGCGTCCTTCTTATAATGCATTCATTTATTTCAAGTCCAAAAAAAAATTTCTTTTTGCAGCGGATTACAGTCAGGGCTTCGTTAACGGAAGGAGAAACATTTTCAGATGCTTCGAAGACGATCGACTCGTTCTCGCAACCGTTCGGCGACGGGTCGCATCGTCTGGAGCGACCTGTCGCCTGCACTCGCGACGGTGGGCTGCGGTTGGTCTCTTCCGCGTGCGAAGACGATCACGGGTTTTTCGTAGGGTTTAAAGGGGTAATTCCAACTCCGACTTCATTATATTTTTTTTTTCATGTCCACGACATTTTTCAAAAGACTTGGCGAGCTAATTTCAAGTGGGACACTGTATAATTTAGCTATTCTTGTCCAAAAAGGAAAGGCTTGTCATAATTGTAATTCATTATTGATGATTCTGTGTGAAGGAGTCGCATGATCCCTGACTGCCGACCTCAGTACAATTTTCTTAAATACAATTTTATTTGTGCTGTTCCAACCGAAGGTGACTCACATGGGTCGAGCACAGGTGGAGAAGGCGGGAAACGGAGTCGTAGTTGGAGCACGTCCGGGGTCACGCCCCGGGTCACGTCCGGGGTCATGACCGTGGACACGCGCGGCAGTCTCTGCCGGGAGCTCTCCGCCCTCCGCCGAGCCCCCAAGGACGCGCTGACCAGGTCGCTGCGCTGCCTCGGGGAGGCGTGGTGCAAGTCTTCCCTGCTGGAGAAGCTGGGCGAGGCGTGGCGCAAGTCTTCCCTGCTGGAGAGGCGGGAGGCTCTCCCGAGTCGGGAGGTCGTCCCGAGGGGATTCACGTACCTGCGGGCGGAGGACCCGGCCGAGGACCTGCCGCGTCCCGTCTCGGACGAGGTCGACCTCTTCGACAAGGGTCGGCCCGCGACGTCGTTCAAGCGAAGCCTGTCCGTCGACGTCCTTGAAACTTGAAGTCTCGCGGCGATGAGGGCCTCTTCCGTGGCAAACGATTACGAAATAAAAGCTTCGAGGAACTGCTTCGATTTTCATTGTTCTTCGTGCGCGGTTACACATAAATCGCGAAGGGAGCGACGAGTGCCCGTGAGTTGCGACGAGATTTGGTCCCGTGTCGTCCTTTGCCCGTTGTCGCAATGAGATCGAGAAACCTGAATCTTCTGGAGTCTCGAACGAGGGAGAATATGAGATATGGTAATGATCTGATAATGCATGACACGTGCAATCGAGCCTGGGTCTTCCCCCCCACCCCCCCCCCCCCCCCCCCCACCCCCCCTCCAGAGCCCAACTTTCCGGCTCGTGAGCCAAAGGTTCCCGCCCCCCCGCCCCCCCCCCCCCCCCCCCTCCCCCCCCCCAGCTTCATTTCGCATGTCAACAAAGGAAATGGAGAAAAATGGACCGAGTGGGGCGAGAGACGTTTTTAATGAAATTCCCTCATTCGATATTTCCTTCTGCGTCGGCATTAGACAGGATTCCCCGAATGGGTTTCTCTTGTACCATGTGCCAGCTTATCCTGAGCCTTCCGCGAGGGACGAGAATACTTATTAGCAACCATTCTTTTTTTTTTTTTCTCGGCGGTTTTCATCCTTTGCTGGTCTCATCTCGTGACCTTGACTCCCTTTTTTTTTTTACTGAGACGAGGGGATTTTGTGGCACATCGCAGGAGGCGTTCAAGGCGTGGGCCTTTAAAAGTCTCAGTTCCAGGTGGAATGAGATGGACATCCACCAGGTGGATGTCCATCTAGCCGGAAATCCGCCTTATTGAGGGTTTTCCACCTGGGAGAGACATCCAAATAATTTCTAATCCGCGTAGGGGAATGCCCATGAGGACTTCCACCTGGTGGGACATCCACCTGGTTCCAAATTTAGCCCCCCCCCCCCACCAGCCGTTGAAACCCGGTGGATACACGTGACCATTTTATAATGGTGGATCCGCATCTTACAGTCTCTTCGATGTTTCCTTATTATTTGTGGGCCGAGGACTCGTCAAGGGCAAAATAGTTCCGCGATATCGATTGCGATTCTTTTTCTCCTTTTTTCCTCGTCGAGCTCGTAAACATTAGGTGGAGGCAAGGGGGGCAATGCTCATTTCCTCCGGAGCCACGCGCGTTCGCGATTCACGTGGCATCGCGTTGAATGAGCCATTACGGCCCATAGAAATGGTTGCGACCATGCGCCGGCGGATCGGAGAGAGAAAGCAGGGAAATTTTAAAATTTTAATAAAAAAAAAAATTTTTTCTGTGATCCGGGAGGAATAGGTGAGAAAACGCGGAGGAAAGTCGCCGATCCGTGTTCGCAAGCTTCTCCAAAGCACCTCTTAATCTCTTAATCCCCGTCAAAAGCGTTTCTCCGCTCCAAATACACGACAGATCGGGTGATTCCATTTTTTTTTCTCCCATCAGGCAATCGAAGACTTGCGAGGGAGAAAAAAAACAATCTGCGATTCCCCCGCTTAATGAGAGCATGCACGCGCGGAAGTGGGCCACAGGTCATTAGGGAGAAGAAATTCCAGCCGATTAAATGCCATTAATCACGGCGATTAATTTCCTGTTCCGTCTTCATCTTCCCTCGTCATCATCCGAGAGAATAAAAAGGTCGGGGAAAAAAAGAAAAAAAAGCACTCATCTCCCCCTTTTGCCCCCCTTTTGCCCCCCCTCCCCCCCGATGCATCTGCATTTTCGCTCCTCCGCGTGCCCACCGCGTATGAATGCATCTCCATTAGAGACGGGGGGGGGGGGCGGGGGGGGGGGGAGGGGGGGCAAGGGGAGGGGCCACGGAGGGAGGGGGGGGGGGGGGGGGGGGGGGGGGGGGGGGCAGGGGGGGCAGGGGGAGGGACCATGGAGTGGGATTCCCAGGACTCCATTACCGCTCTGTCTTCCATCATGCAATTGTTCGCCGTTTCCCACCTGGGGAACCGTTTCTTAGGAGCAGTCCTCGTTTTCTCGCTCCTCTAGCGTCTCGAGATGAAAATATCGCAATTAAAGCTCGTACTTCCCATCACGAACTCAAAAACAAAACATCCAACTTGAAACGCGCCGGCAGAATGAGGCGAACGCGAAAATTCTTCATTTCGATCATAATTACGACGGAGCGAATTCGGACGGCGATCCTTTCCCCGAGAGGACAAAGCGAGGGCCCCACAACGGGGCCGACTCTGCCCCACAATGGCCGACTCTGCCCCACAATGGAGTCAGGGGCCACGGAGAACGAGCCGAGAAGCAATTATCGCGCCTCGTTCGGCCTGTTGCTCGCACAATGAGGCAAATGAAGGAACCGTGTTCCCTCTTTCGCATGGATCCCGGTCTCTCGATGGCGGGGAAGAGCGGGGAAGTGCGGGGAAGTGCGGGGAGCAGTCGACCGGAGAGCCCTTTATCGTGCCCTTTTTTAATGGCCTTTGATGACCTTTCCTCTAAACGTTAACAGGAATGTGCCTGCAGTTCCCTAATTAGGCCGGCAGTTGAAATTTAAAGATTAATTTCGTCGTTAAAATGGGATGCCATAGAGGATCTTCAAAAGCGATTCATTTGATGTCGATCTACCTCTGTCGACCGTGTCGACCCATGTCGATATCAATCTGGACATAATGTCTTTCCTCTTGGAGGAAAATTCGGCGCGACGCAAAACGAAGAAACAAATCAGATGTGAACCTTCAGATGTGAACCTTCAGATGTGAACCTTCAGATGTGAAGGCGTGTGAGTTGCCACTCGCATCCACCGTAAATTTTTGCGATCGCGAGTTTAAAATTCCGGGGTTTCACCAGCTCGATCCAACGTGAAAGACGAGGAATCCCCCACTTCATTGGAGCAAACTGACAAAATAAAAAAATAAAAACTATAATTAAATACCCGCATGTCCGCCTGCGCATTCATTAGCAGGAAATCAAGCGCTTTAAAAATCCATTCAGACATTTAAAAATCCCGAAAACCGTGCCGAAATTTCCTATAAGGTACACGGCGCATGAGAAATGCATTTCCCAACAATCTCTTCGAGTGAATTGAGTTTTTGTTCGACTCCTTCCCTTCACATATCCGCCGAGACACGAAAGGAAAATCGACTCCCAAATCGATTCGAAAAAAATGCAATCGAAGTTACTCGCCCCCCCATCGCCCCCTCCCATTTGCCCCCTTTCGCCCCCCCGCCCCCCCCGCCCCCCCAACCGCCGGCGCAGAATCCCCTCGACCCTCGGCACCACGCGTCGATCCGCCACGACCAGCTATATAAGGGGATTGCGCCTTTCTCCGCTGCGAGTCATCCGCGACGGCCGAGTCATCTGGCTGCAGCCGGGCTGGAGTTCAGACCGGGCGTCCTCTTCCAGCTCTGGAGTTCAGACTGGGCATCCTCTTCCAGCTCGGCAGGTCTCGGGGGCGGGGCGGCATGCAGAAGCTCTCCGGGAAAACCAGGTCGTCCATCAAGAAGTCGTACAGCGTCGAGGTATGGACGATTTTCGTACCGTACATATTATATAGTTCTTATCGATTAAATGTATTTATCAATGAATGATACTAATTAATAAGAAGCAGTCGTCACCTGCGAAGCCGACGAGGCATCGAATCCCATCACGATTCATCTCTCATAACAGACGATTTCCATGAGAATGGTTCTCTCGCTTCGGCGCGGTTCCAGCGCTTGGATTTCGGTTTTCCATTTTTCTAATTGATCGAAGAAAGGGGCCGAAACGATCGGCATGACGAATCCGGCTGATCGTTCATCAGCTTCCGGCTGATCGTGCTAAAATCTTAAAGAAAATCTAGCACGGGTCTCTTGATGAATGACTGGCGCCGGCCACTGCAGAAATTCATTTTGTCCCTTTTTTTTTGCAGAATGGTTACCCGTCGAGGACCAGAACGTTGGTGGACGATGCGAAGTTCGAGACGCAGGTCAACCGCGAGATCAAGCGGGAATTCCTGCAGGAAGTCCGGCGGAACTCGACGGGTGAGTCCCGAACCGGCATGTCACCGGCCATGCCTGTGACATGCCGGCATGTCACAGTGGGAGGAAAAAATTATCATTGTCGATTTTCATCCGACTCGAGTTGTGATTCGAAGTGGAACCGGTTTTTCCTTCAGAGAACTTTTGAAGTTGATATAGGCGATTATGCACTACTGCAGATGCTCCTTCGGACTGGAATCTTTTTCATCCTAGCAAAAAAAATAAAATAAAATAAAATATATATATATATATAATCTGATCAGACCCAGAGACTGTCGCGACGCACTGCATCTGTTCGCCAGAATAAATTGACCGTCACGTTGCGCCTGTTCATTCTTCCGCCGAGAGATGCGGATCGAAACGGGACATCATTAGAACTCACTCGACGCGATTGGATAGGAACAGTCATCGCGAACTTCGCTTTTAAAAGCATCACGCGTCGGTTCACGATCGCGAACCTCGCATTAGGGCGCGATCGAAGTCCCGTTTTGTGCAGAAGTCCTCATTAGGTAAGACCGAAGTCGCAGCGTATGCAGAGCAGAGGCAGAGAAATGAGAGAGGAAACTCGCACCGGACAGCGACAGACCTGTTTCGTTGAGCCGAAGAGGCGGTCATCCCGTGTCGTCCCGTGTCGTCCCATGTCGTCCCATGTCGTCCCGTGCGTTGCAGACGAGGAGATCGCGACGGAGGAGGAGGCGTTCCTGTTCAGCGGGGGAGTGACGCTGGAGGAAGCTCCGGTCCCGGCCGACTATTCGGGGCAGGCCATCCTCCTGCTCGGGCTCAAGGAAGGACTGGCGCCGCTCGCCAGGGTGCTCAAGGCCGTCGAGGTCGGATGTCCTTCGAGTGGCGTTCTCGAGCCGAAGGGCGAAAGGTCATTCGGTTTCTCTCGTCAGAATCTGAAGGGGAAGGTGTTGCACTTGGAGTCGAGGACGTCTCTGAGGAGAGACGAGACTCACGACGTCCTTCTGGAATTGGAAATGACGAGGGAGTCGCTGCTGCAGCTGCTGAAGAGCATCAGGAACAGTCAGGCCTTGACCAGGATGGAGATCGTTCACGAGGAGATCGTCGGCTTCAAGGGTAACGAGGGCTTTCGTCTTCGATGGTCTTTCATGGCTTAAGGTCTTCGAAGGCTGAAGGTCTCTTCCGGCGCAGAGCCGTGGTATCCCCGACACGTCTCCGAGCTGGACAACTGCAACCACATCCTGACCAAGTTCGAGCCGGACCTGGACTACGCGCATCCGGGGTTCAACGACAAGGAGTACAGGCGGCGTCGCGAGCGCATCGCTAACATCGCCTTCGAATACAAGCAGTGAGATGAGTCTCGGTCGCATGCCTCGACGTGCCGAAGCCGGAAACTTTGACTTTTGAGAGAACGATGGGAAATATATTATATGAGTTCTGGGAACACTCGTGACGAAGCTTTGGAAATGAGTCATAGCTCAAAATCGGAAAATCTTTCATTTCGTGTAATGTAAATGTCGGTTTCAAGCACGGCACGTTTCTGGCATGGCTCCGAGAAGTAAGACGAGGTCATTAAAGTTCCCACAAAGGCCGTTTAGCGAGAGCAATCCCCTCCGTCGGCCCCCCCCCCCCCCCCGCAGCGGCGAGGCCATCCCCCGGATCCAGTACACGGAGGAGGAAGTGAGGACGTGGGGGCACGTGTTCCGGCAGATCGAGTCGCTCCTGCCGAGCCACGCCTGCGAGCAGTACAACAGGGTCTTCAAGGTCCTGAGGGAGGAGTGCGGGTACGCGCCGGATTCCATTCCGCAGCTGCAGGACGTCTCCGGCTTCCTCCAGAGTGAGTTCCGCCGCGACGCGATGGTGGACGGTGTTTTTTTCCTTGCCTCGGCGGCTATGAATGAGTCGCGAGGGCGATGGCGGGCGTTTCGTTCTCGATTCCGTACGTTTTTCCGGTTGTGACGTCTCCGGAAGTCCGGAAATGTGATTCGGGGAGGGAATAGATCGGCAGAAAAAAATTCCTACTTACTTCTCGGCCTCGGGGAAGAATTCCAAGTTTCCTGGAGCGATCCTCTGTTCGGAACGTGCTCGATTTTAATTCCTCGAAAGGATCTCAAAGAGGAGCGCGCGAAAAGGATTCCGTCGATCGATTCCATCGTCTCCGTGAAGATAGGGAAAATAAACGACTCGAAGCCTTTTTTTCCAAGTCATACGCATTCCAAACGCGATTCGATTTTCTCGCGGACCAAACCCTGAAATTTTGTGTTGCCTATGTTGCTCCTTGATCGGCAACATAGGCAACACCGGCAACACATCTTCCGGATTCGCAGTGAAATTTTTGTGAAGGTTTTTAAAACGCGGTTTTATTTATTTATTAATACAAGGACTTTCTGTTTATGATTTACGGTAAAAAAAATCCCCGGATGTTCCTCCAGGGAGATCCGGATTCCGACTTCGACCGGCAGCCGGACTGCTGACGGCCAGGGACTTCCTGGCCAGCCTCGCCTATCGGGTCTTCCAGTGCACGCAGTACGTGCGGCACGGGTCGGCGCCCGATCACTCTCCCGAGCCGTGAGTGCGACTCTTGCGTGTCGGGGGGGGATGTTCGAGGTGTTCATGGTGTTCAAGGTGTTCATTGGGTTTTCTACGGCAGGGATTGCATACACGAGCTGCTCGGACACGTCCCGATGTTGGCCGACCAGGAATTCGCCCAGTTCTCGCAGGAGATCGGACTCGCGTCTCTCGGCGCGACGGACGAGGAAATCGAAAAATTCGCAACCGTACTACGAACCCATCCCACCTCACAAATTCGCATTTTCAACGATAAAATTTTTTTTTTCTGGTCCCGTTTTAGTTGTACTGGTTCACGGTGGAATTCGGCCTGTGCAAAGAGAACGGCCAGCTCCGCGCCTACGGGGCCGGGCTCCTCAGCAGCTACGGCGAGCTGCAGCACGCGCTCTCCGGGAGACCCCAGATCAACGACTTCGAGCCGGGCTCCACGGCCGTCCAGGAGTACCAGGACCAGGACTTCCAGGACGTCTACTTCGTGGCCGACACCGTGAGAGACGCCTTGGAGAAGTTCAGGTGGGTGCTTCGCGGCTTTTCTGGATCGGTATCTAATAAATTCCTATGGGTAATCTGGGGATCCGGATGAGAATTCCTTTGGGCTTCCTTTCGCGTAAATACATTCGTACTTCTCTTTTCTTCCGATTGTCGAGCAGTTTAAATGATACATACGTTGTGGGCGCTTCGACTGATTTCCCGAAAGCATTGGGTCGAAATTCACTTAGAGCAGAAGATCCCTGGATGAGGCGCCTCTATTCCAGTCAGGTACCGAATTTTCAGTCGATGTTCCTTGCTGGTTCGATTTCACATCCGCTGTACGGCACGTATCGCACGCCAAAGTCCACTTAAGGCTACAACGGCAAGGAACACGTGCAAACGGCAACGTAACTCGTCGATGACCAAACGGAACGCCCGTTCCAGGCGTTGGGTGTCCGCGGGCCTCTCCCGGCGCTACGAGATCGCCTACGACCCGTATACCTCCTCCGTTCGGGTTCTGGACTCCATCGACAAGATGAAGGACGCGCTCTTCTCGTTGAAGGCGGACGTGGGGCACCTGTCCAATGCCGTCGTCAAGATGAACATCTCTTCGCGAAATTCGTGCTATGCATGTATACAGTACCGGTACATGTTCCCAACAGATATTTGAAACTTCATCCGAATTCATTCTGTCGAGGCTTGACTATGAGCAATCCNTCAATTGTATTTAAAAGAAACTCACAACGAATGTATGTGTCGCTTCTCGCGATGTGCATTGACTTTGGATGAAATCAATTGGCTCGTGCTCCCTTGTCTTCATCATTGGAGTGATTGCAGGATTCCAACCTCCATTGGAATATCGCCGTTTCATCCATTTAATCCATAGGGCTCTTGGCTTTTTTTCTACTTTGGGAATTTTTTCCTTGCTCCTTCAATGTAGTCACCAGACTTTAATTTGTGAAGCAGAAGAATCGTTGTATGTTCTTGTCCGGTTAGACTAACGAAGGGGGGAACTAGTGGAAGGGAAAAAGTGTATGTTCAAATAATTAGATAATATTTTGCTGTCGTGTTCCAAATTGGTTCCTAAAAATTCTCCTAAAAATTCTCCTAAAAAGGCCGGCAAGATTTCATGGGTATCTTCACCAGTTTCATAAATCCCTTGAGACCCTGGGAACAAAAAACTTGCGTAATTTTGAAATTAATTTGTGATATGCAGGGAATGGTAAAAAAACCTTGGACCTTTGAATAATGTGTCTCTGTTTTCACGGGAGCTATTTTCACGAAATTAGCGCAGTGCATATTGCTGTGATGTGTTCCAAACAGACCTCTGAAATTTAATAAAAATAGGCTTCACTTAAATCATTCCAATCAACTGAAAAAGGGACAGGAGTCTTTTGTTCCTTCCTAGTGGCCAAACTGCTCCAGCTTCGTTCTCTGACGTAAACCGCGGGAAAACCGAAATTAACTTCGAGCATTCATTTGTCTTTCATTTGGGCAAAAGCAAAGAAAGACCAGCACAAAAAATACCGAATTTCAATGGAAGAGGAATTCCAAGTGAACCAAACAAGACGCGAAGGCTTTTTCTCCACTCCAATACAAACAAGAGATCTTGTCCATTTTTGCCACCAGTTTCCTTTGAAGGATTGCTCGTAGTCAAGCCTCGAAAGAATGAATTCGGATGAAGTTTCAAATATCTGTTGGGAACATGTACCGGTACTGTATACATGCATAGCACGAATTTCGCGAACAGATGCTCCAGTGTGAGGATACAGAAGGGCGAAAAGTCATTGCTATTTTTTGTTGGCATAAATGCCCTCTTTACCCCATCCACTATTACTCCAGACATTCTGGCCTATCTTATCCAGCCGCAGAGCACTTTCTCTGAAAATTTTGATGTCAGACGAAGGGCAAGTCTCCCGTTTCTTTTACCCTTTGTCCTAGCGTTTCCGTAATGAGGGCAACCTTGATGGATAGAGGCGTACGATGGGCTAAATGTGATTTCAGGTTTCCCTCTGTCTCTTGTTGAATATAATTTTTTTTTTCTGCAACAAAGAGAGGCCACAACTTGTGGCATTTTTCAATTCTATCACTAGCGCGATGGAAGAACGTTCTGCGTCCAGACGAACGGGTAAAATGCGAGTACACATTACACCACATAAGATCAACCTGAACACATGAGATTTTGACGACGCAAGGATACCGCTCCTCCCGACGTAGATGTTGGCACTCTCCAAACCGCGACTCTCCCCTTCTAAACTTGAACCCGCTGAACTCGAAGCTCTTTCCTTTTTGAGTCCATCTCCCACCCCACTTAATGTACAGGATTTTTTTTTCAGTTTTCTCGAGGAAGCGAAACATGCTAATAAATCGGTTGTTCCCTTCGCTCTACTGTACAGCAGCGATCTATTGGGTATATATGACATGACTGATGTCCTCCGAATTGCTTCATCAGATAAAATTTTCACCAAGTGGCTCTCTAAACTCTAGAAAAAACTGAGGGGGCCATTGCTGGATTTTGACTCCAATAATAACCATGAAAATTTGCAGCTGGTAAATTTTCCCGTGGCGTTTCTTTGACTTTGACTGCATTTCAAAATGTTTATCTTTCTCAACCATTTTGCAATCCCAAAAAAAATTTCCTGCAAGGAACGAATTTGTGATCTTCCGGTTGGTTTCTCCTCGACGAATGGGGAATGGATTAGTTCTAGTTCTATTTCTGGACAAGCTCGCGTTCTTCTAATGCAGGGGTCGGGAACATTTTTGGACGTGTAAACATAGGCGGCGATTAATAAGGGGCTCTGCCCCCTCCCCCCCCTCCAAAAAAAAAATGGGAGAAGGAGTTCACCCCCCTAAAAAATTCAGTTTTTTTCCCTCTCTCTTCTTTTTTTTTTAGAAATGACTTGGGGATTTTCGTCCCAAGAAAATATTTCATTTCCATCCGACAGTAGGCAGCGTCGGAGTGGAAAGTACAGTAGGTTCTAGACTCAGTGGAAAAATAAAAGCAAAACGTTTCTCGGAAGAATCAGACGATTAATGGAACCAATAGACCGGCTTGGCTTCCTGACAATGGGGTGAATGGGAAAGTTATTTGACCGAGAGAGGCTGAAGGGAAATTTGTGGATTCTCCCTCATGGAAAAGATGTGAAGAGTTTTAATGATGTGAGAATTCAACAGCTCAGTTGCTGGTTTCTTCCTTTCTTCGTCGTCAGTGGAATTTGCTGAAAGAATGTTGACGATTTGTAATCGAAAATGAATTACTTCTTTCTCTTCAATAAAACTGAGGGCTAGAGGTACGCGAGAGGTGAAAGGGGAATTAAACAACCATGAAAATGTGACATGTTTCAAAACATGTCATGCGGCAGTTTTCTCATCTTTCCATTGACCTACTTGATGAATAAAGAGGATTAGCCATCACTTTGCAGTCAAGAGCTTCCCGGAAAGTGGACTTTTTTCCCGATACAGGGAAACCAGCCTGAATCTCCAATTCTCGGGCCATTCTTCTGTGACGAGTCAAGCCATTGGTACCACAGGAAAATGAAAAAATTCGTCGTCAAAAACCTCGAAGAAAACCTCACAAGAAATTTTGAATGTGAATATTTTTCCAATTCGTGCAATCGCTCTATCGTGTGGGGGAAAAATCTGAAAAGTTGAGACATGGCCCTCTGTTTCGTACTCAGTCGAACGGAACAGAGAAAGGCAGTTCCAACAGAAGTAGTGTGGGTTTTGTCCCAGGTTATCATTCGAACGTACGAGAAAGGCCTCCTAAAGTAATCAAAAAAGAAAGCCAGAGCAAGTGTTGGATTTATAAGTGTTGGATTCAATAATTGGGAGAGCTTTGCAAATGCTTTATGCTCGTGATAAACGAGAGTGTCACATACAAAGAGGCATGCACGCAGCTCCATGCACTGTTTTAGGGGTGAGCGTCATGGATAAAATCAGAGGCCCATATTAGAGATTACTTTTTTACTTCCAGTGAGTTACTTGCACGGGAAGGACAAGCTATCCGTGGATATGAAGACAATGTAGTAAACTTCTTTCAGGTAATGGAAGTGAAGTCCAATGATTGTGAAAAACTAAAGGAATGGTTGCACCGAGGATATCGTGGCGAAAATTAGCTGATAAAGGATGTGCAGAAAGAGAAACTCCAAATAATGGCTGATTAGGTAAAATAAAAGTAATATATGAGGTTCATTCAGGAAAAATTCTTCGCTGAAATGATCGACGAAGCGAAAGATTCCTCTCACTCCGGTGAAGAAAAAAAGACTTCCTCTGGTGACGCTAGACGACATGAACGTGAGCCAAATTTTCGTAGAGTTTTATGGAACAAACTCAGAAACTCCTATATGCAAAGAAAGAATCACGTGCGAATGAATTTCAAACAATTGAGTTATTGAACTGAACCGAAGTTTAACTACCCCAGATGCGTATAATGCCATAGAAAAAATTACAACACACGAGACACATTTAAAAAAAGCATCACTCAGGAGTCAGTATCACGAACGACGTAACATTTCCGACAATAATTATGTAGCATAAACTGATTTCATCTGCCGCAGAAAGCGCATCATTACACGGAAATCGCGATTCAAAAAAATGCAACACATTGAAAAAACAAACACACCAGGGGTCGGTAAACCGAAAACTTTGCGACGAAACGTATCCTATTTCAGTTAGAGACCTGAAGCCGAGTTCATCTACGGCAGATACCGCATCATAGCACGTAAAACAATAAACCACAAAGATACGACACATTGCGAAAGAGAAAAAGCATCTCCCATGCTCCGGTGCCACAGGCAACGAAACTTTTCCTATGTCAAGAATGGAGCTGAAACCGAGTTCACCAGCAGCCGATACCGCATCATACCAAGGAAAACGCCATACCACGAGGATGCGACTCATGAAGAAAAAGCATTAAATGGCGTTGGTAGCACATGCGACGAAACTTTTCCTATTTCAAGAATGGAGCTGAAACCGAGTTCATCTACCGTGGATGCTGCATCATAGCACGGAAAACGCCATATCACACAAATTCGTCTCATGACGAAAAAGCATCACATGGCGTTGGTATTACATGCGATGAATCTTTTCCTATGTCAAGAATGGAGCTGAAACCGAGTTCATCTGCAGCCGATATCGCATCATAGCACGGAAAACGCCATATCACACAAATTCGTCTCATGACGAAAAAGCATCACATGGCGTTGGTAGCACATGCCACGAATCTTTTCCTATGTCAAGAATGGAGCTGAAACCGATTTCATCTGCAGCAGATATCGCATCATAGCACGGAAAACGCCATATCACACAAATTCGCCTCATGACGAAAAAGCATCACACAGACACAAAGTATCACATGCCACGTTTCTTTTCCTATTTGAAGAATGGAGCTGAAACCATGTTCATCTGCAACCGATACAGCTTCATAGTACGGAAAACGCCAAATCACACAAATTCGTCTCATGACGAAAAAGCATCACATGGCGTTGGTAGCACATGCGACGAATCTTTTCCTATGTCAAGAATGGAGCTGAAACCGAGTTCATCTACCGTGGATGCGGCATCTTAGCACGGAAAACGCCATATCACACAAATTCGACACATTACGAAAAAGCATCGCAGAGCCACAAAGTATCACATGCCACGATTCTTTTCCTATTTGAAGAATGGAGC